TAAAGGTGACCGGAAGTGGCCTTGCTCGGTCTCCAGTGTGACTGTGAGGAGACAGTGGAGACCCGGTTGGTAGTGGCGAGTAGGCTTTGGGCTAGTAATCAAACTGCAGCCGTGTTTCTTGGGAATGGAAAATGCATCCTTGGCACAGTACCCTACCGTATGGCAAAGCACTCCTCTTTTTAGTTGGAGCTGTGAATGTAAGACTCAGAAAAAAGAGAGAGGTGTGTTTCCGCCCGGTTTCGAACCGGGGACCTTTCGCGTGTGAGGCGAACGTGATAACCACTACACTACGGAAACGCGATGGGCGGGCAGGCTTCACTGTATATCCATGAAAACCTTAGAACCTGCCGCGACGATTCTGGCCACCAACTTTTTGACTCGAAATAGGCCCGGGGGAAGCACCCGTCACAATCCCTCCGGCCGGGAGACTGCGGCTCCGACGCTCTCGGGCTGCTCCTAAAGCCTCTGACAGAGCCCTGTGGCCATGAGCATCTAACAGGGCCAATCAAATACAGGGCAGGGAATGGAGGGATGGCAAGAAAGCGCAAGAAACCGTTTGAAATGGCCCAGAGCCGAAGAGTGACAGAGCCGTGACTGGGGAGGGCGAGACCACGGGCAAACCGTTGTGTAGTCACATAACGGATTAATACTCCCCCGTAAAAACAACCAAACTATGGATCGGGCAATAACATGGATAATTGGAGAATTTTTCCCAACAGTATGTTCAGCCAAAGATGCTTATCAAGAAATATTTCTAAACACTGAAAATATATCTATTTTAACATACCTGTCTTATAGTCCTGTGTGATTACATTTTATGAAATATGAGAACAGAAGAGTGGTTCCCTCCTTTAGATACATGATGGGAAGTTTCCTGTGTTGATGGAAATGTTTTGAACACTCATCTGTGTGATAGTTACAAGGGTTTATACATTTATTACGTTTCACTGTATACTTTTTATATTTATGTTTTTGACATTAAAAGTAAGTTAATTATCTTTAAAACTAGAGAATTCTCAAAAGAACAGTCATTTTACATTTTGATTTTATTCTGATATATATCAGAATATGTGTGTGTGTGTGTGTGTGTGTGTGTGTGTGTGTGTGTGTATTCTGTAAAATTTGTGCAAAAGACTCTAGATACCTCCAAAGTGGTAAAGATGTTAGAGGCCATGGCTTTAGAGATCCAGGGAATGGCAAGGTTTGTGTGTAATAATCTATATATTGCTGGAAAGAAGGCACTTGGACCTTCCAGGTAGGTAAGTGTCACAGTCTGTGAGGAGCCTGTTTCCAGTAACATCGGCCTGTGCTCAGCCCTCTTCAGCAGTGCCATTTGGCTCCAGAAAGCCATAGCAGATATAAGAGAGGAGAAAAAGGCTGAACAGAACACTCACAGTCGTGTCCCCCAACCTAGACAAAAGTGGTAACACGCAGGGGCAAAGCAAAAGAGGAAGATGGGCAGAGGCAATGGGAATCTGTCTGAATCTGTACAGCACATATTATAAATGCATTTTTAAAAACTGTCAGCTTATGTTTGTAGTTAGCACTAGTTATGAAGCTGTCGGACTGAGGACTTTGTTTCTTTGCCTGTGGCTCCCTCCATCTTCAAAGCCATCAATGAAGAGTTTCTCCCTCATTGAATCCCTGATAAGCTTTGAATCTCTCTAACTTCCTAGTTCTCTGGTCTCTAGACCCAGATTTAAAGGGTTTGTGTGATTAGGTCAGTCAACCTGGACAGTCTCTCTGTCTGTAATGGTAATAAGAATAGCACCTACCTCATCAGGTAGTGGTGGTGATTACATGATGATAATTTTTGAAAATCTAATAGAACAACGCCATGGCAAATGCTATGTATTACTTCTCCCTCTAAACTAACACAACATTTTTTAGCATTTGAACATGTCTTTCAGATTTTTTTTTTTGCTTCATCACATTTTTAAGCAGTTGTATCCAGTTAACTTTTTAATCTTTGAAATATTGGTGGGATTATTGAAACTCTCAACATGGGAGAACCATCTATCCTACAGTCCTTGTTGGACCTTCCCAAACACACAGGACATCACTACTTCATGCTTCATGCTAATGTTTTACTTAAGAGGCTGCAAGGCTTGGTAAGGTGGCTCAAGATTTAGAGTGAGACTTCAAGGGATGTGAATTCTGACTTTTGCCTCATTCCAGTTGAATCATCTTGAAGAACTTATTTCATGTGGCTGTGAGCTTCTCTTTCTTCATCTCTAAAATGGGAAGTAATCAAATGCCATGTAGTTGGGAGATTAAGGAATAAGTTGTAGAAATCCCCGCAAAGAGCCTGTTACTGGGATTACTTTGTCCTTGGGATGGACCCTACCTCCTCTCTTGAGGGCAGGGACCATGTCGGCATGTCCAGTTTTCCCCTGAGGCAGGCGTCTCTGTTTTCTCAGAGTGTGAAGAGTGCAAAGACCTCACTGAATCCATGCTGGAGGAGGATGTGTAGTTTGAAGAAGGGGATCTGGCAGAGAAGATGAGACCAGCTGCAAGGCTTGGGTAAGGAGGCACTTGTGTGGGAAAGTGTGTGAATTACTGTTTGAAGTGAAGCTGCCCAGGCTGGTAGAATAAAGAGCAGATTTGTGCAAGGAGCAGGGCAGAAACGTACGTGGCAGGCACAGAATTGGGCAAAGATAACTGGTGGGGCCATGGGAACTGGATAGTGGGTAGATAGGTCTCGGAGAGGGGTTTTCTCTCTTAAATAATCGATGAATAAAATGGAAACATGCCTGGGTTGGAATACTAGCAATATGACTTCTAGCTGTGTGACCTTGGGCAAATTTACTTAACTTTCTCATACCCAGTTACCTCAGCCACCTCATCTGTAAAATGAAAATACCAACAGAGGGTTATGAAGATGAAATGCATGATTATAAGTGGTTAGAATCATCTCTAACACATATGAAGCTGTCAACAAATATTTCCTGTAATCGTTATACCTATTATTTATAGGTACGATGGTTGTCATTAATGGACTAACATTTTCTACTACAAGAGATATTTTCCAAGCTTTTCGAAGTGACCTTTCATGATAAAAATGAATCTCGCCAATTTGATTTTTTTTCTAAAAAGAATACTATGTAGAGTATTAACTGATAAGATCATTGGGTAGATAGATAATGGAGCAGCTGTTGTCTGGAAAATGAATTGTTAATTTGCTGAGGACTAGCACTGCTCATCCTTAGAGGGTTTCAAATATAGGATAGATTGTGGCATTTAACATGTCTTTTAATCCTTTGTTGAAATGAAATCCGAGAAGCTCAAAAGTGTAAAACCCACTAAAGCAGAGATATTTGATTGAAGGAGGTATTGATCTGGAGCCTCTGTGTCTACCTAGTCTATGCCTTCACCTCCTCTGATACTTTGTAGGAACTCTATAAGATAGAGTTTGAAAGAAAATCTGTAGAAGATCACCTAGTAGGACCATAGGGAGGAGATTCAAGCATCAGATGGTACAGATGACTGTAAACATCTTGTCTGCTTTAAGATTACGTGGTTCTAAGTCTTAACTGAATGCCTACACTCAATTTGGGTACTGTAAGTTAGGTAATATGTGCACTGTCTCTAGCCTCACGGAACTCACATTCTAGATTGGAATCCACGAGAAATGTCTATACAATACTTAGAAAACAGTGAAATCCTACAGAATGATGAAATTCCTACTCAGAACTTTATTTACTCTTAAGTGCCTGGTTATGTGACTGATTATAGCTCGTCTTCAGGTCATTCAAAAAAAATGCTATCTTCTTGATCCTGTCATCACTGGCTTTCCTTTTCATCCTTTCAATACCAGATGTACCTGTTCAACACTTCTGTATCTGGATCCCCCCC